ATTTTGATAAAGCTGATATAGATCACATACAACTGGCACTCAAGTACATCAGCATCATTCTAATGACCTAAATCACTTTTATTAAAACTCTTTACAATGGTGCCACGTATTCATCTTCTGACACATTCCATTTCATTAAGCACACAACATAAGATAAGTTTATATGACCTGATGGTTTTGAATGTTGTTGAAGTTTGTAATGTGTTTGAGCGAAATAGAACTGTATGCAAATATATGTGACTTTCGTATCTATTTTAATGGTGAAAGTATTTGTTTTTCATCCAACTGTCAATATTCTTGAATTTTTGTCATCACAACTTATGATATTCTATGTATGTTATGTATTAGTGTATTGATGAATATGTGTTTTGTGTGTTGAATTTGAAGTCGGTGATTGATTTTTCTTTCAATGTGAACATGATTGTACAACCTGATTTGTTGTGCAACTATGATTTCATTCTCAGTAATTGACATTTGTGATATTATGTCTACATTGTTCATGTTTTGTTCTTATCTTCACTTAACGAACATCTCAAATAATTAACGTTTTTTCAAGAATTACTCGTTTTTCTGCTTTCAGCCTATAAAGCCTTCGATTTACATTGACAACATCATACATATTGGTTTGAGACACTGCTAATATCGCAAAGGACATAACTGAAGCCCACCCCTATGCTATACATTTCAGTCTCTCCTAAAAATTATTCACAAGTTATTGTGGATAACATAAGCTGTTTATTTCTGTGGCCATAGTATCTTTTAAATGTTGGATGTAACTGAACAAACTATTAGAGTAAATGTAGTGGCATTTGTAATCACTTGTCCTAGCCCGTAAACTGGCATGCATCATGTAGCACACTGTCACTTATGGAAACAATATTAGGGAATATTATCAGCAGATAATGCTAGTGCTTATTGTATTGCATTCCATTCTACCTGACGGTTTCAGGCATCGATTACATATCCACATTTATAAGTGCGATATTATTTTAGCTGAATTCCACATCGCTATAGGCGGAAAGCAGTTTATTACTGAAAGGCTTTCTTTTAGATATTCTATGTTTTACACCACGTCAAAATAAACTCTTTCATTAATTCACGAATACTGCGTTACACTAAAAACTCGGCAGGATGTAACATACAACTCAGAACCATGCGCAACCCACACCGACCTATACATCCTTGATGCTTGTTCTTAATTGTAGAGTATACTTATGATGTCAACAAAGTTCTCATCCTGAAGATCAAGGCATAAATAACTACAGCACTGAAGAAAACGTCTGTGTTGTCAGTGCTGTCTCACAATCATCTGGAAGCAGCTGTGAACCACAACCTTAAGATCTTGGCTCAATGCCTGACACTTTCATCTAAGCGAATCAGAGCACTGAGATCTAAATTTTTGATGTTAGTAATACATTAGTCCATCAAACTATGTACAAACGTAGTAAAGTGCAAACTTGGAAACCGAATTTAGACTACAAGCTTCTGTTTAAAATGAGATACACATACTTTGGTGGATGAAAGAACGGCGGCTTACCATATTCACCTAGAATTTCAAGGCTTGTCACGTACAATACAGCCTGTTGATTGAGACATCCTCAATCTATTGTATAGAAACAACGATGCCACACAAACCTAAGGCTTGACAGTGTTCTTCTCAGTAATTCTTTCTAATCAAGAATACTAAACTCAGTCGACCCAGACATCAAGAATGAAGAAAATTGAAAACATATTTGGAATGTCATTAAGATTTCCAGAAAAGTGTTATCGTAACCGGCTAGTTGTTGTGTGGGTATGAGTGGCTTGGCGTACCCATCGTGTATCTTATGCGGATGCTCAACCGAGCGCCTTTAGATAGGTTACTTACTTACTTACGCCTGTTACCCCCAATGGAGCATAGGCCGCCCCTCTTCAGATAGGTTGTGTCCAGTAAAAGTAATGAGGTTGACATCATTGTCGAAAACCTACACTACTACTGATTTCGAGGATTTGTTCACTGCTTCTACTCACTGCCTCCTAGTTGGCTAGTGTTGACTTGGTGCGCCAGAAGTGCATGTCACTGGTGATCGCTCTTGTGATATCCTGCTTTGTTCAGTACCGCTGGATCACCTTTTCGAAGGAATCAAGTGATACATAATAGAAATGGATTAGAAAATGTAAAACGCAAAAGTCAGTTTTCTTGTTGGTCCTCTACTTTTAATCCTTTTCAATCATCTTGTAAAAGAAAAATATCAGGAATAAAATGTATGTCAACATGCACCCATGATTATGTAGGCCAGCGAAACAAGAGCTGGCATATACGTGTTCCTATTTTTCTGGAGGGAAAATTCATCGAACGTCAACAGTATGCCCGAGAAAGTCGAGGAGATCAGTTTAAGTAATACCATGTTTTGAAGTCGTTGGAAAACGAGATTAAGATGTCAGAGATGATATTCCTTGTCCAGGCTTGAGAATAGCAAATCATCAGCATGAGTATGTGCAACGTAGATGCCGCTAGTAACGTCATAAATGAATCTATGAAAAGTTTGAATAGGATTTTGAAAGGCGAAATGCAAACGCGAAAATTCCTAGAAGCCAATTGACTGATGATTGTGGTTTTGGATTCGTCTTCTGTATTCACAAGTTCTTAGTTGTAGGCTGTAAGATTTGGAACGCTTTGTTCATAAAAATCCCTCCATGTATACATTTGTAATATGTCCTTATTGATTACCTCAGTTCTGTATTGTTTTAATCTGTTCGATTCAATTTAGAGATGGTAATATTTGTATTTTATTATAGTTTCTATTTTTTATGCCTTAACTGAGTTTCTATGTTTCTTTCTGAACTGCATTATGTTGTTTAAGCTGATACTGAGTTATGTTGAGAGCCATTTTGAAGTTCTTCACCTGTTGGCTGGATCTGACATTTCTAAACAGTATATTTATTGGAGCTTTTTGTCTTACACCGGCCTTAACCAATCATCTTTATAAGACAAATTTCTACCTTTCAAGCTCGTTAAGTCGTGAGCTTGCAACGGCGAAAACCGATCGGATTCGGTTTTTGCTTTAAGTCATTGATAATCCCCTGTTGGTTCATTTCCAAGACCATATTCCACAAGGATCAACATGGTCTCTTGTACGGCCAAACGACACCTAAATCTATCGTTTAGTCAATTTCATTTTTGCCAAGTCATGGATTTTCAGAAGCCTTGCACGTGTTTGGTAAAGTTTTGGGTACCTATCGACTTTTTGCAAAGAGAACTGGTCACTTACGTGCCTGCGCTTAACTTCAACCACAGAAAGAATCTGCACAAACAGACAATTGGGGATTTCCGCTTACGGACTTTCGCTTGTTTGGGCAGAAGAGCAAGATATGATATTGAGGCGATAGTAACCAATGATTAGCAATGACTCCTCTGCCTTGACGAAAACTCAGTAAATGTGCTTGCGTAGACCTATAGCAAGCTAAGCGTACCTTTTGCCGTACGTGGCGATCGATTTTTCGTTTGAAAACTGGATCATACAAACGACCGTTTGTGTCCCTTGTGACGACACCTTATGAGTGCTGCCTACGAACCTGTCTACGGTGAAAATGCTTTCGTCGGGAAGAAATTGAACAAGACACTCATTTTTTGTTAAACTCAAGGGCATAATTTCAGGAAACGAGAAGGATAGTCCCAGGCACTCCGTTTCGATAAATTATTTAAATTAGTATATAACTAGCAAAGCTTTTGCATTTGAAATATTTACGTTTGTCCAAGTTATGATTTGACTTTGAAACCAGTTGAGTGAATTAGGGTCCAGTTATGCTATACTGTAAAGGGCTGTAGCCTCACATATGTCTCTAAATTACCAGTTTTCGATCTCTAAGGAATTGGTTGAGAAGCTAATGTGATTCAAACCTCCGCCTTATGATATCGGTAAATAGTGAAATAGTGGAAATAATTGCACGCCTCAGGTACAACTAAACTTCTGAAATGTTACTTAGCAGCTCCAAAAGCCGCGCTACTCATGTGTATGAACAAGTGGTTTCAAGTAGTTTTATAAACACTAGTCAGTCACACCTGTGTCAATGCTTAATACTTCTCTGATCATGTGAATTTTTCCCAAACTCCCGTTTCTATCAAACGTCACTATTAGCAGTAACCATTGACACATCATAAACAACATTCACTGATCATTTCAATCTAGAGAGAAAACCACCATAATTTAGTTTGAAACCACAGCTGTATGAGCGTTTTTCAAGGAATGAGAACTCTGCCTTACTCTAAGCTGCATTAGGGCTTACTCTTGTAAACAGTGGTCTTTACTGTTTGAAAATATTAGTTGATTATCCGACCATCTTGATGTAACTTGAAATGACCCATTGTTTTACCACGATCTGTGGTGATAATGGCTGTTTTCGACCATCGTTCTTAAAATATTGTTCAAATCATATGACACCACTTTTTAATTAATGCACAGATCAAAGTCATCTTCGCACAATAACGATATTTCAGCAATTTTCATCGCCTTGTAATGTCGGCTTTGATGCCTAGAACATGTTTGACTGTTTCAGTTTCTAATGTATGTCCGAATATTTAATAAAGCTGATTAGATCAGCTGTGGATTAAAATATAGCCGTACTGGACTAACCTTTGTAGGCCACTCCCACCTCACTGGGTGAAGTATTCATAATCACACAACTCACCTTATCAGACAAGGCTCAAAGTAAGGACCAGTGATGACAGTGTTAGCTTTTCGTTACGTCTATTGCTTCTGTGGTTGTCATTATGATGGTAATCACTATTGTTAGATCATCTCTGCTCACCTCGCCTCAACGCATCGTCAGTTCCTCCACTATCATAATACAGCAATGATCTATCGAGAAACTGAAAACCGTTAAGCGAAAACTCTTCGTCTTACATTCAAAAACAACCGAAATCACTTGAAGTCTCATATTAATGGACTAATATAATTTTCTTTTGAAATTTTTTTAAACCTCGAACTACGATATACTAGGTAGTCATTGAGAATTGATTCCAAGATTATGCTACTTTCAAGTTAGTCGCTACGTCATGCTGTAGTATTTATGGGGAAGAAAAATAGAAATAAGAGAGAACTTCGCCAGACGTCAGTCAACGTTGGTAATTTTGAAATTTTAAATCTCACTGGCTCAGCAAACAAGGTGGATTTGCGTAACAATGTGAAAGAAAATGTCCCGATTAAGGTAACATTTCTGTAGAAATAATGTTTAGGGTCTTCATAATCTAGGAAATACGTGTTATCTTAATGCTGCCCTACAATGTCTTGCAAGGAGTCCATGGCTTTTGGATCTGTTAATTGATGATGAACCCAGAGAATCTACTCTAACTAAACCTGATGGGGTAGGAGATAAAATTCAGCTTTAATGTTTTAGGACTCAGTATCTACATTATGTATTTCCCTGCCACCAATGAAATGTACCCTAACAACTCAATTTAAAGAACTTATATGTAACATGAAGCCCACTGAAGCATCAAGTACCAAGATTAACTCTTCCAACTCAATAAGTCCTGGGGTTTGTTGTGTTAACTGGTTCTAGAATTCTCATCTTTTTAGATGTTTAGAAACGTGTTTGTTGAACGTTGTCCGCGATTTGGTGGGTTTAGGCAACATGATAGCCACGAGTTGATTCGTTCTTTACTGGACTGTTTAAAACAAGAAGAACTTACACGCTGGAAGAAGGGTATTTTACTCAAACTCAATGTTAACCCAAAAGTTAGTTAATTATTACCCTAAATTAGCATAAAAAACTTAATACAGGTGTAGAAATTTTCTCTCGGAATTTCATACCCTGCTTTCTTAAGTTAAGATATAATAATGACGTAATGATAGGTCCTGGTAAACATCCTATTAAAAGTTTCGTATCCTAAAATTTTTCATTATAGGCGCTCATTCGTTTGGCCTAACTTACTGATCTATATTCAGCAATAAGTTATCCTCTATGACGACCAAGACTTTAGTAGAAGTTACACTTGTAGCGGCCAATGTTGTCTCATTCTACTTAACCAAGTTAGTGAGAGATGAGCTTCAGATGCCATTTTCAAAACTCACTTCACCTTGGTATGCTTTGGGTCACATAAATCAATTTGTCAGTTATTTGAGATCAATGGATAAAGTCAAGGTGTATTTGTTTAAGGTCTCATCATGTTTTCACTTTCTAAAGGCAGTTATACAATCCAGACTATTATTTTTTCTATGTCTGTGTCTCAGCAATATTTGTGTATTCAAACAATGATACAACAAATATACTAACACAGTCTACATGAAACTTTCCATAACAAGGCGTTAATCTATGTTGCCATACCAAATTCGCACGACTCATTATAATGTCTATGATTCAACGAAAGATTGAACCTGGAGAATATAGTTTGTAAAATCAGTACAAATAAGTTTGTATGAAAGTATACTCTAAGTCACTACCTAGAGAAAAATAACTATTAAATGCTTCTGCACCATTGCGAACGATTTCGAGCCCTGTTACTTGAAGTTTTCTACCATTAGGATGATGGATATCTAGACCAACTTTATTGTGGTGGTGTTTCGTTCTCTGAGCTGGTTGTTTTGGTTGTGGAGCTTTCATTGTTCTCCTGAACAACATCATCAGCACGAACTTCAGAACTTGTCATTAATCAGTGCAATCAGTTATTGACAGCTTAAGCCTCATTTAAAATATTGAGTTCAGTTATTTAGACAATAGGGATTAATAATTAGACATCATCATTTACGTACTAAGGAATCCATCCAAGTCATACGGTCATAGTCACCTCTATACATGGTAAAAGTAATGTTTTATTGCACAACCTGTTATTTTCTCAGTCGTCAATTTCCGTACTTCCTTTACATAATTTAAAAATAAGTCCTTTCGAATTAATTTATCCCCATCCGATTCTTAATGCATCTGTTACGGGTATAAGGGCAGATGTTGTTTCCCAGTTGCCCACACCGTGGAAGGGCAATTCTTGAGGAATTCGAAAAGGAAATCGGATCAGCGGTGGTCTTAGCGACCTGGGAGCGTAACCGCAGAGCCTATGTGACAACTACCTGAAGCCGGTCACGCATAGCTTTCTTATGGGGAGTTTTTAACGTGGTAGCTCTGCTCTTCAAATTGCTCTACTGCCGAAAAACGGAAATCCGTGAGGTGAGATGAGGTGTGACATTTTTAGGATCAACCTTTTCTAACCTGTTCCTCCCGTTTTGAGAAGGCATATCACTGCATATGCTGGTTGTCCGAGGGAAACATCTCACAATTCTCTACAGTCAGCAGTACGACTTCGCCCTCGGACCTTTAGTAGTTGCTTTTAGTCTCGCCGTTCTCCAACCGACCTGCCTGGCATGGTGAAACCTACAGGGACGTATGTTCCAGCCAGTATAGCTCGTTTGGATTGTCACGATAGGCAAGTCTGATCACTACGTCAAGGTAGCAGTTACTGTTGGGTATGCATCTAATGAAAATGGAGTCCTTTATCTTCATATCGAAGTATATACCGTAAGATGTGAAATGTGTTTAATATTTTCGTAAATAGGAAGTGCTTATTTATTGGTTTGATATCACTACTCCGGCTCTATTATATTGACAAAGTTATAGTTAAGAACTTGCTGGTGATTGAAATTATCTTTCAGTCTGTCATCTCACAATTACACGATGTGACACTACTGATGCGTTTGCCTGCTAATAACAGTAGGGAGTTTGAGTTTCATACTTGAAATTTACACAACACTAATTAAGATTTTATTTTTCTCTTCACCATTATAACAGGATGTTCGTGATGATGAGAAAGAATCTATTCGTAATTGGGGCAAAGCAGCTTCTATAGCCACAGCTATAGATCGACTTTTCGGTGGAATTTTAATCAGTACAATCGAGTGTTGTTGTTGTGGTACTATTCGTCCTAGATTTGAACCATTTTTGGACTTATCTCTATCGGTTTCTGAAACTAGTGTTTCAAAATGTAATCATAGTGAATCTATGCCTGAACGAAATTCTAAAGGTTAGTTTACTTTCATGTTTGTATTCTAATTCTACTGTCACTTCCAGTCCGCTATCTTATTAAACAGATAAAAACTTTCAGTATAGTGCATTACCTCACTATTTTATTGATTACTTACTTACTTACGCCTGTTACCCCCGATGGAGCATAGGCCGCCCACCAGTTTTCTCCAACCAACTCTGTCCTGGGCTTCCCTTTCCAGTTCTGTCCAATGTTTGTTCATTCTTCTCATATCTTTCTCTATTTCTCGGCGAAGTGTGTTCTTTGGCCTTCCTCTTTTCCTTTTGCCTTGACGGTTCCATGTGAGGGCTTGTGTCGTGATGCAGTTCGGTGCTTTTCGTATTGTATGTCCTATCCACTTCCACCACTTCTTCCTGATTTCCTCCTCCACTGGAATCTGGTTTGTTCTCTCCCACAGTACGTTGTTGCTGATAGTGTCTGACCAACGAATCAGAAGTATTTTCCGTAGACAACTGTTCATAAACACTTGTATATTCTGGATGATGCCTTTCGTAGTTCTCCAAGTTTTCACTCCATACAGTAGAACTGTCTTGACATTTGTATTGAAAATCGTGATTTTGGTTTTGGTTGAAAGTTGTTTGGAGTTCCAGATATTTTTCAGCTGTAGAAATGTATCCCTTGCTTTGCCAATCAGCACCCTCACATCTGCATCGGATCCACCTTGGTTGTCGATGATGCTGCCCAGATATGTAAAGGTGTTAATGTCATCCAAGAGTGATTTGGTTGGTGCATGTTGTGTTGCATCGGAGAATTTTATTGATTAGTCCCTCTTTTAATTCAACAATTGGTATACAACCTAAGTTACTTTAGGGGGTGCGCACGCATTAATAACCACTGCCAGAGAAGTCCGTACTCACTGACTTCTCGTAGCAGACGTGTTGGCTTCACTGTCTTGTGGAAATAGATGTGTTTGTATATAAGGCTCCTGTAGAGTGACCCCCCTAGGAAAACCATGTATTTCGATTTGAGCATTTGAATCATCCATCCTTGGCACAAATTCAATGTTTTGTATGGCGCGCAAATATTTAGCTCCCCTTCGTACTAATAATTGTGTTTTACTATAGTTAAATTTTATCATAGACATGCTCCTAGAAATAACCTTATCCTCGTCTGAAATTTCAGGAGTAGACCTTTTACCAGGTGGCTCGCTTATTGACTTAGAATATGCCGATGACATAGTCCTAGTTGGTGAAGACGCTGACAAAATGCAGAGTCTTCTAACTACCCTAAGCAACAATGCAAGCATGTTCGGGATGCGGTTTTCCTCCTCGAAATGCAAAATGTTGTTTCAAGACTGGGTTGAATCGGCACCTGAATTAGTGATAGGGAGTGAAGTTGTCGAACGTGTAGACCGCTTCACTTATCTGGGGAGTCTCATCAGTGCCGATGGCCTGGTGACTGACCAAATCTCAGCTCGGATACAGAAAGCTCGATTGGCTTTTGCCAACCTGTGTCACTTATGGCGTAGGCGAGATATCCGTTTGCTGACTAAAGGACGAGTGTACTGCGCAGTAGTTCGCTCCGTCTTACTTTATGGCTGTGAAACATGGCTAGTGAGAGTAGAAGATATTCGTAGGTTACTGGTTTTCGATCATAGGTGTCTTCGAAGCATTGCTCGTATATCGTGGGACACCCGAGTGAGCAACGCTGTTATTAGTAGACGGGTGCTAGGTAAGAATGGCAGATCAATAGATGAAGTAATGAAACTTCATCAGTTGAGGTGGTTGGGACGTGTTGCGTATGCCTAACCACCGACTGCCTCGAAGAGCTTTGTTTTGTAGTGTAGGAATAGTTTGGAAGAAAGTTAAGGGCGGCCAGACCAAGACATGGCAGAAATCCATGAGGTCATTGACAAGTGGACTTAGCCATGTTGGTAACTTTCGACTACCTGGTTGGGGTCCTCGAGATGATAATAATCGATGGTTAGATACCTTGTATGACATGGCTCAAAGTCGTTCGCAATGGCGCAGGTGGATTGATTCTTTGTGTTCTCTCAAATCCTAATCTTCTGGATTCCTCAACCCCTCTAGTATTGACTTTCTAAAATTTTCTCATTGAATCATACTTCTTGAATAATAATACCTTCTAATCCTAACCTCTCCGACTACTTCTAATACCTTTACTACTTCTTCTACTATTGGATTTGAATTGACAATTACATCTGTGCTGATGTGGTATGGCAAAATAAACTGATGTACTTACGCACAAAGCTTTACGTTGCATCTGACTGACTTATCCACGGTTGCACTTTATGACAGATATCTAACAATTAAATAGATGCTAAACGCGTCTAATATTTAAACTGAGTTCCTTTCCTACAGTGAAATTCCTGTTTGCTTGGTCCAACGAAGCAAACAGAAGTATAATGCATGAAATCAAATCCAAACTGATGACTTATTGGTTAATAATAGCTTAACTTTCAACGATAGATTTGCTTACTTTTAATTTCACTTTGTCTACTTCGGTTTTATCAGAGCGATGTTATTCATAATTCTCACGATTCAACAATCAGAGTAGTCGTGCTTACTTTATTGTTTCTGGTTAGCGTTTTGTTTTAGCAAGTTAGTGTTCTGTGGGATCGTGTCACCAACCCCCTTGCCCAACCTTCTTCCTTCATCAGGTCTTGGGGACCGGCAGTAGCGTCAGAGGAGTCTCAGTCCACTTTATATGGTCGTATATGTTTTGCTATGAAATTAAATTACAAAATGTAACAAACTAGTACATTACTTCAAATTCGTAGGCTTCACAATAACACATAAAATTATCAATAGGATAAGTATTCAGACTAGGAAAATAAAGATAAATTTGAAACTGTAGCTGCTACCTTGATGTGGTGGTCGGTCCGGCTTATCGTAATGATCAAAGCCTGCTATATTGGCCATACCAGGCAGATCAATTGGAGAACAGTAAAACTAAAAGCAGTAACTCAAGGTCTGAAGGCGAAGTCGTACTGCTGACTGTAGAGGTGTGTTGTGATAGTAGTAAGATGTTTCCCTAGGACAACCAGCATCTGCAGTGATGCTGCCTTCTCACAACGAGAGGAACGTGTTAGAAAAGGTTGACCCTGAAAATGTCACACCTGACCTTACCTCACGGATTTCCATATCCGGCGGAGCCAACTAAGTATCATGTGCCCTCGTATATGTAAACACTGACAACCCAAAATGGCTATGTCTAATGTAGGAGTATGCTGAAAGGAAACTAGAGACGGCCAAACTAAAAACTTGGCACAAATCCTTCGAGTCACTGACTCCGTCGAGTGGACTCTGTTTCTTCGTGTCTTCTATAGTTGAAAGCTGCCATAGTAGATTGTTTCTGATGATTACTGGCCAATGGATCCGCAATATCCTGAATAGACAATTGTTAGTCAGCATCTACATCTTTTGAATGATAGCTTCCCATAGCTCACCAGGTTTAAGCTCGATACAATAGAACTGTTTTAACATTTTTATTGATTATGATGACTTTCATGTACCCTACCTTTGTTTTGGTAATCTATGCCTGCACATCTGCATCAGACCTCTATTGTTAATCCGTGATGCTGTCTAGGTACGTAAAAATGCCCACTTCTTCCAGAGGTTCTCCATCAAGTATAGTTTGGTTACTGCCCACTTTGTTTCATTTCAGGATCTTACTTTTTCTATAGTAAATGTTATGGCATAATACTGCAGAGACTGCTGCTACACTGATTGTCTTGGCCTTCATTTTTTTTTGCGTATGGAATAGAAGAGTTAGGTAGGTGGTCTGCAAACTCCAAATCTTCTAGCTTTATTCCGGGGATTTGGTATCGCCAACAACCCTAGAAGGTCTTTAGGACAGATTTAAATCATCACTAACCAAATTGATAAACCCAAATGTTACGTTTTAATTTCACCTGTATCAAATGATCCAATAAGGGCCTGTTGTAAAAGTAAGTTAATAAGGGGGCTACCCAACGGGTAAATCAAGAAAAAAACACGTTATCAGTTCATGAAGTCCTCGATTTTACCTGAAATGAACCATGTCATTACACACAAAAAGAAACACAACAAACTTTGAGTAAGTAACATCAGTCAGTTGCAACGTAGAAATTCGTACGTATGTACATAAGTTCATGTTGCCATACTACATTACCACAGAGACGCAATTGTCATTTCGAATCCAACAGTGGTAGCGATAGTAGAAGTATTAGCGGTAAGGAGTGAAGATATGATTCGAAAAGTATAATTCAGTGAGATAAGGTTAGAAAGACAAAGGTAGAGGTGTTTACGAATCCAGAAGATTAGCATTGGAGAGAACACAAAGAATGGATGCACTTGCGCCATTGCAAACGATTTCTAGCCATGTCATTCAAGGTCTCTAACCATTGTTGACTTTCGTCTCGCGGACCCCAACCAAGTAGTTTACAGTCTACCAACATGACCCAGTCCACTTGTCAGTAATTTCATGGATTTGTACCATGTTTTGGTTTGGCCGCCCCCTAGCTTTCTTCCAACCTACTCCTACACCACAAAACATAGCTCGTCGAGGCAGTCGGTGGTTAGGCATTCGTAACACATGTCCCAACCACCTCAACTGATGAAGTTTCACTATCTCATCTATTGATCTGCCATCCTTACCTAGAACCCGTTTCCTAACGACAGCATTGCTTACTCGGTTGTCCCACGATATACGAGCAATGCTTCTTAAACATCTATGATCGAATACTAGTAACCTACGAACATCTACTCTTAACGGCCATGTTTCCCATCCATATAGTCGGACGGAGCGAACTGCTGCGCAGTACACCTGTCCTTTAGTCAGCAAACGGATATCTCGCCTACGCCATAAGTGACGCAGGTTGGCAAAAGCCAATCGAGCCTTCTGTATCCGAGCTAAGATTTCGTCAGTCACCAGGCCATCAGCACTGATGAGACTCCCCAGATAAGTGAAGCGATCAACACGCCCGACTACTTCACTCCCCATTACTAGCTCAAGTGCTGATGCAACCCAGTCTTGAAGCAACATTTTGCATATCTAAACTATATTACTTACTGAGTAAGTAACATAGTTTAGATATTGAGATGGTGGGGAAAATTTTTAGTTCCGATGGATGATTGTTGTGGTGTTTCGTTCTCTGAGCGTTCTTCTGAAGAACAATGAAAGCTCCACAACCAAAACAACCAGCTCAGAGAACGAAACACCACCACAATAGTTTAGATATTGCTGTTGCTTCGCAAATGTACTTTTATTTGAATTTTTCAATTTCATTATATTCCTTCATGTGCACTAATCTCTCTGATGAAAGCATATTTATAAACTACTTCACACAATTTAATTCATTTGACTGATCCTTCTATTTTTGTCTCATATTAGGTGCCTACAGTGCTAAACAACTTCGTAAAAAAGAAGTAAGTCTTATGATCGTATTGTGCTTTTAATGATTGTGCAATTAAATCAATTTGTTTGAGATCTAACATAAATTATTACTCTTTTGTAAAAAAATAACCCATAAAGACAATTGAAGATAGCCAGTTAGTCAGTCAGTCAACAACGTAGAACTTCCTACAGACAAACAGATACAATACAGAACTTCGTACGTACGTACATCAGTTCAGGTTGCCCCATACCACATCACCACAGAGACGTAACTGTCAGTTCTGAAATCCAAGAGTGATAGCGATAGTAGAATTATTAGCAGTAATGGAGAAGATTAGGGTATAATTCATTAAGATAAATTTATAAAGAGAAAGATAGAGATTATGAGGAATGCATAAGGTTCGAATTAGAGAGAACGCAAAGAGTGGATGCATCTGCCCCATTGCAAACGATTCTGAGCCATGTCGTTCAAGGTCTCTTACTATCGATTACTATTGTCTCGCGAACCCCGACCAGGTTGTCTACACTAACCTACATGGCTCAGTCCAGTAGTCAATCAATGACTTCATGGATTTGTGTCATGTTTTGATCTGGCTGCCCCTAACTACACTACAAAACATCGCTCGTTGTTGAAGACAACAAGAAATAAAAACGAAGATTGATGCGAGCTAATATGAATTTATTTTTTATTTCGTTCGGTATCTTCATATGCCTAACTATGTCGATTTCTAAGATCATCATGATGAGACGTGATAACTCTTCTCTGACTGGTAGACATTTCACCTTTCGGGGCGAAATTTAAATTGTTTAAATCACTTTTTTTCTGGTTAGTGTTCTTTTAGCAAGTTAGTTTTCCATGAAATGGGGTCACTAACCTCTCTATACCCAACCCTCCTCCTTTACCCGGGCTTGGGACCCGGCAGTAACCGCAGAGGGGGCCCCAAACGGAGTTAAGCAGAACACCTAACAAAATAAAATGAATTCATTATTAATATATTTTGCATTAAATTTTGTTTTTATTGGCTCTCTCTCTTTAAAATGATCAAAGAAACTATGTGTATAAAACCAATTGAGCAAAGAAAATTTTCGTTCCGACAACTTTACTCTAGATTTATTCTATTTATTTTTATTCGAATCATGAATCGATCAACGTTCAACCATTATTAGATACCTGGAACCACTGGAAGACTGTCAAGTCTTACAAGAAGACTTGTCAGCAGTGTGCATCCTCGAGCTCCGCACGCGGGAATCCAACACATGACATTCGCTGTGGCTGTGAGAAGGCTTAACCTCTAGACCACTGAAACAGTATCCAATGGTGTAAATGTTTGACTTCAACTAGTCAATGATACTGTATGACCTCATTCCTTTGTCTTCGGTGGGTAACTAACTGCCTCACACCCAACACAGATGTAATTGTCACTTCAAATCCCTTAGTAGTAGAGGTAGTAAAAGTATCGGAGAGATTGGGGTTCGACAATATTATTCAAGAAGTAGAATCTAGTGAAATAAGCTTAAAAAGGAAAAAAAAAAGAATTCACAAGTTTTGGATTTGAGAGAACACAAAGAATGAATGCACCGGCGCCACTGCGAACGATTTTGAGCCATGTCATTCAAGGTCTATAACCATCGATTATTATCATCTCGCGGACCCCAACCAGGTAGTCTACATCTACCGACATGGCTCAGTCCACTTGTCAGTGACTGCATGGATTTCAGTCATGTTTTGGTTTTAGCTTTCTTCCAATTTATTCCTACACTACAAAACATCGTTCGTCGAGGCAGTCGGTGGTTGGGCATACGCAGCACATGTTCCAACCACCTCAACTGATGAAGTTTCACCACTCCATCGATTGCTCTCCCATCCTTACCTAGTCCTCGTTTCCTAACGACAGCGTTGCTCACTCGGGTGTCCCACGATATACGAGCAATGCTACGAAGACACCTATGATCGAAAACCAGTAGTAACCTACGAATATCTTCTACTCTTACTGACCATGTTTCATAGCCATAAAGTAAGATGGAGCGAACTACTGCACAGTACACTGGTCCTTTGGTCAGCATACAGATATCTCGCTTACGCCATAAGTGACGCAGGTTGGCAAAAGCCAATCGAGCCTTCTGTATCCGTGCTGAGATTTCGTCAGTCACCAGGCTATCAGCACTGATGAGACTCCCAAGATAAGTGAAGCGGTCTACACGCTCGACTACTTCACTTCCTATCACTAATTCAGGTGCCGATGAAACCCAATATTGAAGCAACATTTTGCATTTCGAGGGGGAGAACCGCATCCCGAACATGCTTGCATTGTTGCTTAGGGTAGTCAGAAGACTCTGCATTTTGTCAGTGTCTTCACCAAGTAGGACAATGTCATCGGCGTATTCTAAGTCAATAAGCGAGCCACCTGGTAAAAGGTCTACTCCTGAAATTTCAGACGAGGATAAGGTTATTTCTAGGAGCATGTCTATGATAAAATTGAACAAAAATGGAGAAAGTGGACGTCGCTGACGGACACCACTTGAAGTGAAGAATTCCGGTGACAGTTCGCCATAAGCTCTCACTCGACCAGTGGTCACACTAGGTGTTGACTGTCAGTCTATCAATTTTTTGTCAGGAACCTCCCTCATGCCATTTTACCAAAACATCTAACAATTGAAATTCCATGTCCAATCTTATTATTTCATTTATTTTGCCTAAAAATTGTAGCGTAAACGTAAAACTCCTAAACAACGAAAACATCAATCTTTCCTACGTGATGATGTTGAGCACCAATCCGATCAAGATTGTTCCGATTCAGACAGGCATAAATCACAACATCATAACAATCTACCCGTGGATTCGTTTATTGCAAAATGTTGCGCTGATGTAACATCATCCCCGAGCATTGATGATGATGATGATGATGATGACAGTAAACACCAGGAGAATGTAATGAATGGTGATGTCGACGTAGAGCAGGAGGAGGAGGAGGAGGAGGCGCATCAACATGACGGTAGTCATGGTGATCATGATGGTGATGGTGATGATGATGACGTGGACTGTTGTGAAAACAATGTCATCAATCTAAATGGATCATCTGCACATTCAAGTAAAGTTACAGTTTTTTAGTTTTTGTGGCCTTTGGATATTTTGTTGTTGAACTTTTGTGAATCATTAATGATGATTTTATTATGAAACTGTATCATATTGGGGAGATTGATTGTTTCATCATGGTCATATTTGTGTTTAAAATGTGATGTCAGTGTGATGGATGCTACTCACTAGGTGGCCTATAAGTAGTAGTACTAAGCAGTGGAGTTATCGCTCAGAAGTTGCACTCAAAGATAAGGCTATCTGAAGACTGAAATGCTTAGCGTGATCAAATTTTATTGAAGATCAGAAGAGATATAGGGGAAAACAGTTGATAACCTGCTTGTATTGCAAATGAATGTTTGAAGATGATAACGTGTGCGTATTTTGTAGATAAACGGTGTTTTCTCCAACTATATTTATACATATCCACCTGATCTGATTTTGAATTCTTCATACCTTTACAAAAGCATCCAGATGTCAACTAGTTAGTTAGCTACAGATTCAAATATTAATCATTGTACTTCGATTTGGCAAGTTGGATAGTATATTGCAGTAGCTATCGTACAAAAAGTCAGTGGGGGCATAGGCACATACGACGAAGAGGCAGCGGCGAGTGTCCCTATCTTTCCTAATCCTTACTGTCCCGTTTAGTCAGACAGCGCACAAGCGACTATCTACTGGGATCCAGTCTTGGAGAGATTGTTCCACTCTATGACTCAATGCTATACCTATGCCAGCAAGACCCCTTGAAGCAGCATCAGGGCTTCCAGATACACGAAGAGTAAATCGAGCTGCTTCTTTATTTCGATAAGGTGAAATCAGATTAATAATTTTAATAGGATGCTGTATGCGCGTTTCCGAGACGCAGCACACATCGATGGCACGAGATTTTAATGTCCTAGCTAAGGAAGCCTGTTGCCCTATTTGACACAATGTCCGTACATTAAATGCTCCAACATGTAGTCTAGAGCGGGGTTTCAGGAGACCAGGAACGACGTTCCGTGAATTCGCATCGTTGGCATTAGCTGTGCACTGTGATAAACGAATGTGAGAAGAGTTAGTCGTGGAGATAAGAGAGGTATTGGAGGGTGTAAGAAGGATTTGATTTTGACCAATTTGGTCTCGTGATGTTACGGGTATGAGGGCGGTTGTCACTTCCCGGCTGCGCACACCGTGGAAGGTTGTTTCTCGAGGAACCTGAAAAGGAAGATAGATTAGTGTTGGTCTTAGAGACCTGGGTGCGTGACCGCAGAACCCAGGGGACAACTGCTTGAGGCTGGTCACGCATGGCCTTTTTATGAAAGGATTTTCGAGTGTTAGCTCCGCTCTTGAAAGACCTTGGTGGGCACCCTTACCGACGGAGACGGAAATCCGTGAGGTAGGGGAGGTGTGACATTTTTAGAGTCGACCTTTTCTAACTCCTCCTTCCTTCCTTGTGAGAAGGCAACATCGCTGCAGATGCTGGTTGTCCGAGGGAAACACCTTACTGCTGTCACACCCCTCTGTAGTCAGCAGTACGACTTCGCCCTCAGACCTTGGGTAGCTACTTTTAGTCTCATCGTTCTCCAGTTGACCTGCCTGGCATGGTAGAACCTTCAGGAACATATGTTCCAACCAATATAGCTCGGTTGGGTCATGACCATAGGCAAGCCCGACCATCACATCAAGGTAGCAGCTACGGTTTGGAAAACAAACAGTACTCATATTTTATTGGATAAACTAGAGTAAAGTCAGAAAACTTGACTAGGATTCTCTCAAAAACTGCACTTCAGTATGGCTATATCTTATTTAAATCATTTTTTTCTGGTTAGCGTTTTTTTTAGCGAGTTCGTTTTCTACGGGATGTGGTCACTAAACATCATACCCAACCCTACTCCTTTATCCGGGTTTTAGACCGGCAGTAGCCCCAAAGGGGGTTTCAGGCGGAGTTCGGATATCACATTCTGATTCAGTAATTCTAAAAATGAAATGCACCAAAAAAAGTATGTATTAAATGACTACTTACTAATTATTCATTATCAGTAGTATATTTTTTAGTGATACTGTTTAATATTATCATTAATTTACAATGTTTTCTCAATACATAGGTGAAACATTAAATCAAGATTATCGTGATGAGGTCGCATCATCGGATGGTAAGTTGTTTTTACTTTAAAGAAAATGATAATCTGTGCATTTTTTGATAGTTGTCAGTTGATATTCAAATTGGTTTATTGGTGGTTTATTTGAAACGTGTCAGAATATCTAATGCAAGGTAAACCAGTCAGTTAGGGAAATCAGGAGATTACGTTCACTGGCACAAGTGTGTGTGTGTGTTTGAATCGATCAAAACTAACATACGTCACACGTTACAGTACAGTCGTCAAAATACAGGGAAATTAACAAATCGGTTGCATTGGCACAAGTGCTTCTACTTTTTTATTCCTTCAAATTTTAATCTTATGAATCCCTTGTGACTATTTTTCTGTTCACAAGTTTATTTCACTGGAATAAAGTTTTTGAATAATATATTCCAACCTTAACCTCATCAGTGCCGATAGCCTGGTGACTGGCGAAATCTCAGCACGGATACAGAAAGCTCGATTGGTTTTTGCCAACCTTCGTCGTTTATGGCTTAGGCGAGATATCTGTTTGCTGACTAATAAAGGACGAGTGTACTACTGCGCAGCAGGTCGCTTCGTCTTACTTTATGGCTGTGAAACATGGCCAGTGAGAGTAGAAGATATTCGTAGGTTACTGGTTTTCGATCATAGGTGTCTTCGAAGCATTGCTCGTATATCGTGGGACACCCGAGTGAGCAACGCTGTTATTAGGAAACGGGTGCTAGGTAAGAATGGCAGATCAATAGATGAAGTGATGAAACTTCATCAGTTGAGATGGTTGGGACATGTGTTACGTATGGCTAACCACCGACTGCCTCGAAGAGCTATGTTTTGTGGTGTAGGTTTAGGCTGGAAGAAATTTAGGGGCGGCCAAACCAAAACATGACACAAATCCATGAAGTCATTGACAAGTGGACTGAGTCATGTTGGTAGATGTAGACTACCTGGTTGGGGTTTGCGAGATGATAATAATCGATGGTTAGAGACCTTGAATGACATGGCTCAATGTCGCCGGTGCATTTATTCTTTGTGTTCTCTCAAATTCTAATCTTCTGGATTCTTCAACCTCCCTTTCTAAACTTTTCTCACTGAATTATACTTCTTGAATAATATCTTCTAATCCTAACCTCTCCGATTACTTCTTATATCTTTAGCACCTCTTCTACTATTGGATTTGATTTAACAATTATATATCTGTGTTGTTGTGGTATGGCAACATGAACTGATGTACCTACGTACAAAGTTCTACGTTGCATCTGACTGACTGACTATGCCACTTCCAGCGATGATTTCTACCGCCTACCTAAAATCAAATGTTTATCATTATTATTAATATTATTGTTGTTGTTTTAACATTTTTTAATGATTGGATGAACGAATTATTTTGTTTCCCCCCCCCCCATAAAATCTAAAGGAAATTGTGCAGATACAGAAGAGGGCAGTGATCTATGCGATAGTGTCACATCATCACCATCCCACAGATTAATTTCAAATCATTCTAACGACCATTTAAACGAAGAACAATCAGGTGTAGTACAAACAACTTGTGATTTGTTGGAAAAATTACATTTGAATTCTGTCACACCCTCTCCATCATTTTCATGTCATACCAGTGAATTAACTCAAGCTATTCATTATGCAAGAATTCCACTTAATGAAATGAAAAATTCTAATTCTATTTTGACAAAATCAATTGGTATAAAAAAAAACAAAGAACAAGTTATTTCTATTTATGAATGCCTGTCAAAATATACTTCCACTGAATTATTAACTGGCTCAAATCGTTTAATTTGTGATATATGCACAAAACGTAATGTGTTGGAGAATTCATTGAATTCGTCCATACATGAACAACCGATGACAAATAATCAATCGATATCTAATAGGCAATGCATATTTCAAGATGTGATTAAACGTGATTTAATTTATAAACCACCAGCAATATTAATGATACATTTGAAACGATTTCAACAGGTTAGTTTTTTTTTGTGAAATCTTTTTTTAAAAACAAAAGAGTAAACGCTTTAAAAATTGATAAAAAAGGGACACCTGAGTATTTCAACAGCATATATAAATAAATCATTGATTTTGTGCGTGAACTAGCTGCGCTACTGCTTTGGACATCCAACCAGATGCAGGCCATTCAATGAGTCTTGAAAACCTACAGATCTGATTTAAAAGCCAGTCAGTCAGTCAGTCAGATGCAGCGTAGAACTTCGTACGTAAGTACATCAGTTCATGTCGCCATACCACATCAGCACAGGGATGTAATTGTCAACTCAAATCCAATAGATTAGAAGAGGTAGTAAAGGTATTAGAAGTAATCGGAGAGGTTAAGATTAGAAGATATTATTCAAGAAGTATAATTCAGTGACATAAGGTTAGAAAGACAAAGGTGGAGGTGCTGACGAATCCAGAAGATTAGGATTTGAGAGAGCACAACGAATGGATGCACTTGAGCCATTGAAAACGATTTTGAGGCATGTCATTCAAAGTCTCTAACCATCGATTATTATCATCTCGCAGACCCCAACCAGGTAGTCGACAGTTACCGACATGACTCAGTCCACTCGTCAATGACTTCATGGATTTCAGCCATGTTTTGGTCTGGCCGCCCCTAGCTTTCTTCCAACCTATTCCTACACTACAAAACAAAGCTCTTCGAGGCAGTCGGTGGTTAGGCATACGCAACACGTGTCCCAACCACCTCAACTGATGAAGTCAATGGATCAGTGTCTATAGGTGCAGTCCTTTGGTGGTTGGTTGGTTGGTCATCGACACTGGGTTCATACGTCATTCGTTTCATCAAGTTCCTGAAGCCCTGTCAGCGGACGATTACTGTCGAACTTGTATAAGTGGATTCTTCACACCTAACAATCCGGTTAAAGCGCTGTATACTTGTTTTTCGTCGGTCCAATTTTGTAAACAATGGTACGAAAAGGCTGTCAGTAAGAACTTCCGTGGCAGTATGTCTATACACATATCAGAGTATTCTGGCAGAGAGAGGGTACAATCTCCATACTCTCTGACGTACCTTGGCTCAGGTGTCTTTGAAGCATTGCTTGTATATCCTTGTTAGGAATAAGGTACTAGGTACAGATGGCAGATCAATTGACAAAGTAGTGAATCTTTATCATTTGAAGTGGTTGAGACGTTTGTTATCTATGCTCAACCAGTAAACCCTTCATGACTTACGGTTTCATGTCATTTTAGCTACGTTACACCTTGATCGGCGATAAGAAGCAATTGACATACATCACATTAATCGCAACTCACTGATAGGTCATTTATCAATACATAGCATTCCTATAGAGAGGTCAGTTACGACTGAATAAGTCGAGTGAAAACATGTTTAACTAAGGTGAAATCATGTTGGTAGATGCAGACTACCTGGTTGGGTTCCGCGAGACGAAAGTCATCAATGGTTAGAGACCTTAAATGACATCGCTTGAAATCGTTTGCAATAGCGCAGGTTCATCCACTTGTTGTGTTCTCTTTAATTCTAACCTTCTTAATTTCTCATCATCTCTATCTTTCTCTTTCTAAACTTTCTAAACTTTTGCCAACGTGCGTCACTTATGGCGTAGGCGTGATATCCGTTCGCTAACCAAAGGACGGGTGTACTGCGCAGCAGTTCGCTCCGTCCTACTTTATGGATGCGAAACATGGCCGTTAATAGTAGATGTTCGTAGGTTACTAGTATTCGATCATAGATGTTTAAGAGACATTACTCGTATACCGTGGGACAACCGTATAAGCAATGCTGTCGTTAGGAAATGAGTACTAGTTAAGGATGGCGAATCAATAGATGAAGCATTGAAACTTGAGGTTGGTTGAGGTGGTTGTGACATGTGTTGCGCATACCGTACCACCGACTGTCTCGACGAGTTATGTTTTGCAGTGTAGGAGTAGGTTGGAAGAAAGTTAGGGGCGGCCAGACCAAAACATGGCAGAAATCCATGAAATCACTGACAAGTGGACTGGGTCATGTTGGTAGATGTAGGCTATCTGTTTGGGATCCGCGAGATGAAATTCACCAATAGTTAAAGACGTTGAACGACAACCTCAAAATCGTTTGCAATGGCACAATTGCATCCAATCTTTGAGCTCTCTCAAATCCTAATCTTCTGGATTCGTTAGCACACCTACCTTTGTCTTTCTAACTTTATCTTACTGAATTATACTTCTTGAGTTATATCTTCAAATCTTAATCTTCTCCATTAACAGTAATCCTTCTACTATCGCTATCACTCTTGGAGTTGAATTGACACCTACGTCTCTGTGCAAATGTGGTATGGAAACCTGAACTGATGTACGTACGTATGTACGAAGTTCCACGTTGTATCTGTTTGTCTGTCTAACAAAGGTGTTGCTTGATATTGGGGATCGATTACCATCAGAGAGCATCATTTCGCTGAAGATTACGAAAAATACACCTTACTGATGCATTTTTGCTAACCGAAACTGTAATTCAAGTAGAATTTCCTATCGATTTCTTCCAGCCATCAACAACTTTACATTAGCCGCACATAGAATGTGTTATCATCCAGTCGGTTAAAAGTTATACGTGGGAATTTTCGAATTTCATCCAAACTCATCGGAGTTTTTCGTTCAATGTTGTTTTAACTTGTCAAATTTCGTGAGTTTTATTTTATTTAATAAACTTTCAAATCCATTTCTTTTTAAAAAAAAATCATATTTACACATTTCAGATTGGTGTACAATTGAGAAAATCACAAAAATCTATAAAATTCCCTATTGATTTGGATATTACACCATTTTGTTCTGGTCTTGCATTGGTAAATAGACTGTGTTTTGTTTTTTTCCCTTCTTCCGTTAATTTATTTCATAAACATTTCATTGTCAGTATATTGTTGATCTGATCAGTCAGTCAGTCAGTCAGATGCAACGTAGAACTTCGTACGTACGTAAGTACATCAGTTCATGTTGCCATACCACCAAATTAGCACAGAGATGTAATTGTCAATTCAAATCCAATAGTAGTAGTAGAGGTAGTAAAGGTATTAGAAGTAATCGGAGAGGTTAGGATTAGAAGATATTATTCAAGAAGTATCATTAAGTGAGAAAAGTTTGGAGAGGCAAAACTAGAGGTTAGGATTTGAGAGAGCACAATGAATGGATGCACTGGCGCCATTGCAAACGGTTTTGAGCCATGTCACTTAGGGTATCTAACCATCGATTATTATCATCTCGCAGACCCCAACCAGGTAGTCTACATCTACCAACATGACTCAGTCCACTTGTCAGTGACTTCATGGATTTCTGCCATGTATTGGTTTGGCCGCCCCTAGCTTTCTTCCAACCTATTCCTACACTACAAAACAAAGCTCGTTGATCTGATCAGTTGTATTATTTCGAATATCTCATGAAGTTATACGTTGTATCTGCTTTACCTACTGTAAAATATGACCAGTAAGAAGCGAGAATATTCGTAAGTTACTAGTATTCGATCATCGATATGTTTAAAGTATTGCTCGTGTATGTATATTCTGGGACCATTGAGTAAGCAGTGCTATTGTTATGAAACAGGTACTAGGTAAGTAAGCATGGTAAATCAGTTCATGAACCCGTGAATTTTCATCAGTTCAGAGATGGTCGTGATCTGTGATATGCAAAACTAACCACCGACTAACTTGACAAGCGATATTTTTTGATGTAGCGGTAGGCTGGAAGAAAGTTAGAGGCAGTCAAATCAAAACATAACAATTCAACTGAGTTATGTTAGTAAGTGTGGACGAACTGGTTAGCGTCCGAAAGACAATCGTAACCATTGGTTAAAGTCAATCAGTGATTTACATTATAGAACTTCGGACGTATGTACATAAGTTCATGTTGCCATACCACACTAGCACAGAGCCGCAAATGTCAAATCAAATCCCAAGTGATAGAGTTAGTAGATGTATTAATGGTAATGAAGAAGACTAGGGTTTGAAGATATTATTCAAGAAGTATAGTTCAGTGAGTGAGATAAGGTTAGAAAGACAAAGGTAGAGGTGCTGACGAATCCAGAAGATTAGGATTTGAGAGAACACGAAGAGTAAATGCACCGGCGCCATTGCGAACGATTTTGAGCCATGTCATTCAAGGTCTATAACCATCGATTATTATTAGTTCGTCCAGACAATCGTTACTAACTAGCGTCTGAAAGGTTTATAAATCAGCAAGTGAACATAAAGTGTTGAATGCGTTTATTTTTGACACACTACAAATAGAACAGCAGACTACAAGCGCTATAAGATAAAATCGTCATGCGAGCGCCGAGAAAGCAGGCAAGCGAGTGAATAGGCGAATGAACGGATGAAGTGATGTGGAGAAGGCTGGTGAGCCAATTCCAAGAGATAAAGCATGACTAGGCGACAAAAATAAGACAGAGTTTTGGAGGTTTTGTGTTTTTACACATTTGAAATCATCAATCAATCATTGTTAGACCAACACCATTAGAAATCCGGAAGCACTGGACGGCCATATCGTCCTGGTATGGGACTACTCTTCAGTAGCAGTGCGCATCCACGACTCCTGCTCCTCGCAGGACTCGAACCCGCGACCTTCGGTATTGTGCGCGAACTACTAACCATCGGACCATAGACAGACATGTAGTAAGTGACGAGATAGGCATGCACAAACATGAATACAAGCGATGAATAAGTGACAAGGTAAAAAGTCATGTGAGCTAGACATTTGAATAACTCATTACAGACTCAATACACCACACCTCTCACTTTGATTTCTTTCTATTTTCACAAAAAATCATAGACTAATTCCAATCGAATACATTATCATTTATATGGTGTGATTGAACATACTGGACATTTAAATTCTGGTCATTATGTGGCTTATGTAAATGTGCCCAAATCTAGCGTATCGAATGATCAATTGACTGTACAAAAAATACAATTATTTATTGGTTCATTGCACCAGTCACCGAAATGGCCATTATCGATTAATGATTTAATACAACGTTTTCGTCGTTGTGATCATTATCAACAATTATTATTACCCTCCTCCTTATCATCGTCATCGATTACCAATCATCATGATGTGGATAACATGAATAAGAATAGTGACGTGAATAATAATCATTCCACTGGTTGTAACAGTGATGATGGTGATGCTGACGATGACGATGATGAGGACGTGAATGTGGACGAGAATGACGCCTATCAATGGTTCTATTGCTCGGATAGTCATGTTACACGTGTATCACAATCTACTGTGTTAAATTGTCAAGCGTACATTTTATTCTATGAACGTATTGAATGAGCAAAAAAAACATTGATTTTCACATTGTATTATTTTTTACATATCTTGATGAATAGTGTACGTATGTAATGTATATTTTCACTCGGGGGAGGGCAGGGTTGTTTTTTGCTATGCCTTCCCCGACGTATTTTATTGTCTCTCTCTCTCTCTTGAAAATTCTACGCCCTGCGCTCCTACGAAAAACTAATGATTTTGTAAATAGTTTCTACTGCTACCGGCCCGCTCCCCTCATCTATTCTTCTTCATCGTCTTCTTGTGTTTTTCTTACGATGAAATCAGTTTTTTGGGGAAAAAATAAATATTTTACAGAAAAATGATAAAAATTCGGTTGTTTATTTTTTTTGTGGTTTAGTACTTTTTTTCCGTACGTGCGTGCGTGTGTTCGTTCGTGTGTGTGTGTGTGTCTGTTTGCATTTAGTACAAATTACATAATGTATATGCGAAGCGAAGCGGAGAAGGCGAACTGGTCAGCTCAACGCAATAAAGCCATGACTGTGTATTTATAGTCATTTGTGTGGTGAGTGAATTAAGCAATGCACACACGCACACAATCAGGTAAAAACGACCAAGTTGATCATAGATAAGGTTAAAAGACGTGAATGACTCGTGAAGCATGAACTCCTAATCATCTCTCTCTGTCGAGAGTTATCGCAGTGAATTATACTTCTTGAATTATATCGTCAAACCCTAATCTTCTCCATTACTGCTCATACTTCTACTATCTCTACCGCTACTATGGGATTCGAACTGACAGTTGCGTCTCTGTGCTGATGGGGTAGGGCAACCTGAACTTATGTACTCATGTACGAAGTTCCACTGTGTAACTGACTGACTAAAGAATCAACTAATTAATTTGTCCAAAGGTTGTGAGACAAGCCCTGTCGGCTTGATATATTAGTACACACTAAAATACGCCACCGACCAGCAATCTCCAAACTACTTTGTCCTGAGCTCACCTTCCAAATGTTCCCAAGTTTTATCCACTCTTGTGATGTCCGCCTCCTAGTCTCGGCACAATTTGTCTTTTAATCGAGCACCTCCCCTTTTCGCCTCTAAATTAAGGTGCGGTTTACTGATTTCTGCGATTTGTGTCTTATGAACTCCCAGCGTTTTTTTCGTAGTTTCCTCTTCAGCTGGAAGCTGATTTGTTCTCTCCCACATTAGGTTGTTACTGATGCTGTCTAACCGTTAGATGAAGCGTGTCTTGTGTTGAAAAATTGTCAGTGAACACTTGTATCTTTTCCATGATAGCTTAAGCTCCGTACAATAGAACTGTTTCTATATTTGTATTGAAAATATTGACTTTGTTTTGGTTGAACGTTGTTTTTGAGTCCCGGATTTTGTTCAGTTATAGGAATCATACCCATACTTTCGTAATCCGTGCCTTCACATCTTCATCGGAACTCTCTTGTTCATCAGTGATGTTGCTTAGGTTTGCTACAATTCCCACATCGTCCAAAGTTTCTCCATCAAATGTGATTTAGCTGGTGCATGTAGTGTTGTACCTACTCATAATTCACCAGGTTTCAGCTCCATACACACTGCCCAGTGTATTCTATGCATACCTTGAGATTTTAATGTTTTCACAGTTCAGTCAATCATCGGAAAAGGAGAAAGGTTGAGAGTGAGCGACCTTGTCTGACCTCGTTCTTCATTTGGAATAAAGTTGGACAGGAATAGAGGAAGTAGACAACCCTGTCGAACACCACTTGAAGTTATTAATTCCGACGACTTTTTGCCATAAGCTCTGACCCGGCCATTAGAGTTCGAATAGAGAGCTTGTATAAGGTTAATGATGCATATCGAAGCTCATTAGTCGCGATTGATAAACACATGTCATTATACTCAATCGCTTTTAGCTGCTTTAATGACGTGGTGGTCGGGCTTGCCTATCGTGATAACTCAATTGAGCTATATTGGCTGGAACACCTGTTCTTGTAGGTACAACCATGCTACGTTGGTAGATTGGGGGAATGATAAGACTAAAATCAGCAACTTAAGATCCAAGGACGAAGTCGTACTGCTGACTTTAGATTGGTATAACGGCAGTAAGATGTTACACTCGTACAACTAGCCTACTAACAACGGAAGAAGAACTTTAGGACAGACCGACCCTTAAAGTGTCACACCTTACCCCACGGATTTCTGTCCACGAAAGTGCGGCATTTTGAAGAGCGGAGCTAGCATTTCAAAAACCCTCTAGAGAAGGGCCCTGCGCAACTGGCCTCTTCCAATGTCACTAGAACCAATACCAGCCTAACTTCCTTTTCAGGTTCCCCCAAAAATACCCTTCCAGGATGATATTTGTACAACCTGAATTTGTGTTAATTAAAGCTTATCAATAAGTTTAGTCAACAGGAAGGCAAGAACAGCACAGGAATCACTTTCATTCGTTATTACTGCTAATCAGTATCCACTTCTGCTAATAATGTTTGTCATGTGAAAGCCAGTTCATACAGGATGCATGTCTAACAAAAGATACTGATCAATTGTAGTCCCAAGCATCGATAGGGAGATTCAAACAGCCAACAGGAATGAATTATTTTCTGCACACCAGTGTACAAGACGGTGGTCATCTTGACTCAGTAGCTAAGTGGATCGTGTAGAGGGGCTTATATGGCGCGGAACTAGGTTCGAGTCCCGGAGTGAACATCAACTCTGAGATATCGCACGGATATGCTGCTCATGAGTCCGAAATAGGACAAAACGTGTATCCTGCACTCTATCGCTAACCACTATGCACCTTTGCTAATAAAGGTCGCAATTCAAAATGTTAATATCACAACAATCCGTACAGGAA